ACACACACACACACACACACACACACACACACACACACACACACACAACACACACACTTACACATACACACATACACACACGTACACACGTACACATACATACACGCACGCACACATACATACACACATACACACATACACACACACACACAAAATGCCAACACAAAGTGGTGTGGGCGGCTATGCCTGGGCCAAGAAACACCTGCCACCCGACCCCGAAGGCGATCGCCGGTACGAAAGGCGTGTGAGCGAGAGAAACGCTCTTCTAAACGCACACACAGCCACACAGGCATGGGGGGCGGTGGGTGGGGTATCCGGGGGAACGGCGCATGGGGCAGGCGATGGAGGTAGGCGTAGTACCGTTTACAGTGTAGTGTATTTGATCCGGAGTGATGGGGCTGACCGGGTTATATTTGGCCTGGGTTAAATAGGGATTTGTTCTGCTTTTGCCTTACGTATGAGGAAGAGGAGTGGCCACTTCAATGTTGTATGGCTATTGCCACTACTTCTGTACATATGTCCCACCTGCTGTAGAATGATGATTGTTTTCAGCTCAAAGGTGATATACTTATATGGCTATTACCACTCCTATTGTACATATGCCCCTCCTGCTGTAGAATGATGATGGTTGTGAATAACTCATAGGTATTATACACATATAGGTGGCTCTGGCGACTTTGGCAGATCACTGACGGTGCGTGCGCTTCCGGTCGCCGACCGATTCAGGTGTGTCGACAGTGTCTTATTTTCTCATATGACGGAATAATCCCAATCTTATTTCCTCATATGATGGAATAATCCCTGGTCAGATTCATCAGCGTATCGCATCATATAACGGAATAAGGCTAGTGCCGTGAGCGAATGTTCGGCCCCTTAAGTCTAAGCCGCCACATAATACCACGTATTACATCGTATCTTTGGCACATGGATGGACTTGATTGGCCATTGTAATCGCTATAGGTGTTCTGTTTATGCGCGCCCAGTGTGAAGTACGTCTGCCAGCACCGCTGTACCTGAACTGTTGATCGGCTAACCAGCACATGCACTGTATTTATAATCCACACAGAAAAATGCAGGATGCGTGGGCGTTATTACTGTTTATACTGCTGTGGATTGTGGTGATAGTGGTGGCTGTCAGCGGGGCCACTCATACCCAGTTTCAAAAGTAAGTGTACTTCCGTGGATGTACATATATGTACACACACACACACACACACACACACACACACACACACACA